GAGGAGGAACTGGAATCACCAAAGAGGACCTGGGAACACCGAGGAGGACACGGAAACCTCAAGGAGAACTTGGAATCACCAAGGAGGACACGTGAAAAAAAAGAACCCAACCTATAATTGAGGTTTCTTAACTTTTTGAAACATCTGAATCTGAAATTAAAAACCCTTTCGGCCACCGAGTTCGTCAAGACAACCAAGAGGAATAAAAACTTTGGAGAGCTTCCCTCTCTGTGGATTGTAATGGTTTATAAAGTGGAAAATTCTTCCCAGCACTGTGGATGTTCCCTGACCTCCAGCCGATTGCCCATAAACGGATAAACAAAGCCAATCCCCGGCTGAAAAAAATCCGATTTTGGGAGATCTTTGTGAACTTTTTTGGCTCCAGAAGAAGACAAGGAGCAGAGCTGAGGAATGATGAGGGGCAGGACAAGACATGATCTCATCTGAACCCGGACCAAGGGGAATGGAGGAGGCAGAAAAACAATTGTCTGCCCTTATCCAGGAGAAGCAGGAATGGTGAAACTGCTGCCAAAAGTCATCCCAAAGAAAGAAAAGGAAGATTAAACAGCTGTCAAATCCCAGAAAAGAGCGGGATCGTGGAGCAAGGAATCCCGAGGAGAACTCTGCTGCTCTGGATTCGAATAGAAGAGGAACAAGAGAGGAACCTGCCAGGGCTGAGATTCCCTGTCCAAGCCCAACGTGTGGCTCTGGAGAAGAGGATGATGATCCAAAAGATTCCAGGGAGATTCCAGCTGGGACACTGCAATGCACAGCTTGGCTGGGGGAAGTGAGAGGCTCCATGGAAATACTCCATGGAGTATTGCCAGATGTTTTCTAGGATGAGAGAAACACGGGCACAGATCTGACACAAAGGAGGAGGGAAAACCAGGGAAAAAACAGGGAACAGCTCTTTTGGATCTTTTCCTCCTCTCCTTGAAGTGAACTTGGGAAAGTTTCTTCCCCCATTTTCCAGGTTGGACAGGGCTTGGAGCAACCTGGGATAGTGGAAGATCTTCCTGCCCATGGAATGAGATGGGCTTTAAGGTCCTTTCCAACCCAGCTCGTTCTGGGATG